AAGCAGCTGGTGGCTCGGGTGGCTAGCATGTGAGCCTTCTCCCTCAGCACAACGAGTCGCCCCACGCACTTGTAGCGTCTCATCTCGCTCTGTTTGCCCTCACCCAGTACCCATGACCAAGCATCTCATGTCATACTCTCAAAACTTTCATGTTTCTTTGTGAAAATGGCCCCTAAAAGACTGCCTAGTGTCAGTGCTAGTGATGCTAGTGGAGTGAAACATAAAAGGAAAAAATCAGTGATGACTCTGGCAAAGAAAGATGAATTATTACACAAGTTAAGGAGGGGATGAGTGCTACCTCGGCTGGTCGGTTGTTTGGTGTGAACGAATCCACAGTGCGGTACATAAGAGAGAATGAGCAAGTAATTTGTGATTCTGTTCAGCGAGTGCTCCTGCAAGTGCTAAAGTGGCGCAGGTTGTTCGTGACAAGAACGTAGTGAAAACTGAGAAAGCTCCAAACTTCCACCAGCGAATGTAAGTACAGTATTGTAACTTGAGTTTCTCATACACAGTATAGGTATATGTACCTGTATATTAGTGCACTAAGGTATTATTTAAGTGGCTATTTGCAGTTTTGTCAATTCGTGCCATTTCTTGGACCCTATCCCTCACAAATGACAAGGGTCTACTGTATTTAATTTTTTCAGGCAGTAGCTACCATTCATTCTTATTTGCATCTCTTTCTTCGGGGGATTTTCACACACAAAAAGTTTCAAATAAATGCAGTATTAATTTTAACTCCTAGGCTTCGGGTCACATCATATGACGTTTTGATCTTCAGTGAACCTATTTGAATAAGAAATGTGCCAAACTAACTCAGAATTATGGGTTAAACTCTCTTCTTCCACACAGCGACATGCAGACTTCACGTGCTACCACCCACAATGCTTCAGTACCCATCGCATCACGAAACAAACAATAGGACGTCAACACTTGGTGCAAAGAATGATGGTAGCCTTGTGTTTACCATGCTTCAAGAACTACCATACAGTACCCTGAAAACCTGCTAGTGGCAATAATATAAATAAACCATAGAAAATAAGACACTGAGAGTGTAGATACCACTCGTTGCTGCGTAGTGCACTTGTCAGTTACTCGCCCACTACCCACCCTCGTCTCCCACTCCTTACATTCACCACGATGCCAACTAATGGTAAGTACTGTACATGCATTTCTTTGCTATTTATTTATGATGCATTAAAAAAAAAAGTTTCTAATACATAAGTACAGTAAATGCATTTTTGCCAAAATGTGCCTGCATGGAGTGTGGGCTATGGCCTCCGTAGCCCACAGCCCATTGGCTAAAACCCATTTTTTCCTCTACCCTGTATAGTACTTCATAGCCTTTCCCACTTAAGGTATCCCTCGCTATCCAAATGGGTTAGGTTCCTTGAAAACCATTCAGTTATAAAAGTTTGAGTCAACTATATACTGTATACAGTAGATAATGCAATAAATGAGAAATACACCCCTGTACCGTACAGTATAGGGTTTGGTTCCTGCACAACAAAAAGAAAACAATATCATACCTAAAAAAAAATTAAATCGGTCACAAAAAACGAAAAACCAACAACATTTTACATAAAAATTATAAACTAAATGTGGTATAATATGTCTAATGTATGCAGTTGGTACAGCAACTCGTGTGACAGGTCTCCCGGTCTAACTTGGGCCTTCGTGCATTCATGATGCTTGATTATTTTAAAATTGTTTTCAATAATCACAAACTTGAGCAGTCTCTTAGCAATGGTGGGGGTAGCCGAGGAATCAACACAACGCACAGATTCACTAATACTGTACTGTACTAATAGTTCAACAGAACACTTACGCAAATGGCATGCATCACCTCGCGGGCTGAGGGAGGGAGGGACGGGGGTGATATTATGCCAACTTGGTTAACTCCTGGGCATCTGATTTGAATTTTTGATCAGACAATTTTTCATATAACTACATATTGTAAGTAAATACAGTATTGTTTTTGGATTGTAAGAAAGAGGTGCAAAAATAGTATTTTCAGATATGCAAATTTTTGCACAGAGATCATTCACATAGCGAGGGATACCTGTAGTGTACAGTATTGGGATTAAGGTAATATTCTAAAATACAGGGAAGTGAGAGGATAATGCTCACTTCCTAAGGATTACCAATTTGAATCAACAGGACACTCTTCAGTCGGCCTAGCTTCAAATGAGTACTGTACCTAACTTGACTTTGGGAAAATTAAAGTTGAAGTGTATTGCTTTGTGTACTGAATACTGTACTCCACACTGTCCAAAATGCATCTTTGCATCTAAGGGATCTGCTTTCTTGTATAGCTATAGTAATTGCTAGGTAACAACACCTTAATGAAACTACAGTATTTTACAAAAAAATTCTCTCATATATGATAATTAATTTTCTCTATTCCTTTAGTACTGTACTTTTAATCTTCAGTGAAATTCACATAAACAGGAATGGGAGAAATAGAAACACTATGAGCATATGGGGAGGCTGTGTTTGTTTACACTATGATATATATTATACTGTACAGGAGAGAAGATAAACTAAGTTAACCTAACAGTCTGACATTGTTTTGGTTGGGTTAAGTTCAGTTTGGTTAAGCGAGTTATATTTGGTTGTTTCTTTTCATCTGCTGTCATGGATAAAAACACTTTTAACAAAATTGAGTTCAGTCAATAAAGAGTTTGTTTATATTAATGAAAAATTGAAAACTAAAAATATCAAGGACTTTCAGAAATTATATTGAAAATAAAAACTTTATGCATTAGTGAAATCTTTTTAACTGCATAATTTTCATACGCAGGCATCCCATCACTATACAGTATGGACCATATGTAACGGAGGCCATTCACAGTTTTAACCTTTATAAATCACAGGAAGATTAGCTCCCCCAAGTCCTTACCTGAAGTTCACCCCAAAAATTAACCAACTTTAAGTTTAACCCACCCTAAAACTATTTGGGGGGCATGGGGCTAGTCTTCTGGTGGTCCATAAAAGCCAAAAAAAATGCAAATGGTCTCGTTCAATGCCTCATCTACATCAATAATACATAGTTAAATATTACTATACACTGCCCTGTGAAGATATACAGTGGCGGGGTCACTGAGTCGGATTTTGAAAGTTGTCGGTAGTGAATATGAACAGGGAAATAGAGCCCCACAAAATAATATTAATAGTTTATTCTAATGTTTTCCTCGCATCATGTATTTTTTGAGTTATTGTACCCTTTTTAAATTCACTCAGGAAATTACACCTTGGAATATATCATAGTAAATCTACAGTACTATCCAATAAAGAACATTGCTAAGTTACATTGGGTACTTTGCTCCTGTACTGGCACTCAACATCTCTGGTCTTTAGGGGATAATGAGACGGTCAGTGAACCTCTTAGGAGACCAGTTAGTCTTAAGTTTTGGAGATAAGACATCCAGTATAATTCACTAGAGGATTACTGTTAATAAACACTGGCATATCTACCAGTTTACTCTTTACTCGACCCTTTATATATTGTGTGCGATAAAATAGGAAATATACCAGATCTCATATGTTGTAATAACTGTCTTTGATAGGACACCGTACAGTACTTACCAAAGAATGTTGACAACAGCGCCAAATTTTTAACCCCAGAATACGTTTTGCCTCTCAACCTTCATCAACACACTCAGGGGAGGACCAGGGAGCCACAGTGTAAAGGTAACACATACCAGTGTTTCCTTACAAAATACTTTGATATATATACTGTACAGTATATACAATAATAATAATAATAATTCCACACCTCCTTTTGTCCTGTCTCTCAGAATTGGCTATATATAAGCAATGTATTTGAATATAAGAAAAATGTGATAACTGTATTTCATCAACAATTATTGTAATAGTATATTTATGTAAAATATATATCACTAAGTCTTTGTATTTAAATAATTATAAGCTAAGATTACTTTAAGTAGAATTTAAAACAATTCTTTCAAATTATTGCCTTTCCAAGTAAGTTAACACATTTTGTGAAGAAATTTGTCTTGACAATATTCTGAACTTATGGCTTCTTCAACCTTGAGTTGTGACCCCTATTGGGGCGGGCGTCCGCCAGCTCCAGGTATGAACACTCGACTGAGTACTGCCTTCTGAGATATTTATAAACTTCAATTAAGTCACCCCTTGCTCGCCTATAGTATAAGCTAGGCAACTGCGGGTGTTCTAATCTCTTGGGGTAACTGAGGTGCCGTATTGCAGGCACCAGTTCTGGCTGCCTTCCTTAGTACATTTTCATTCAACATCAACTGACAATCTCTAACATATCGTGGGGACCAGTTGGGGTCTGGTCGGGCCCTTAGCGACGTTAACTTAGACCCTTAGTGGCGTCAACTCGGGACCTGAGCGGCGTTAACTCGGGCCCACAACGGCCAATGCCTTAACCTATTTTAGCCTACTTTTGACCTTAGCGGACCCTGAATACTAAGGCCATAATGAGTTTTTACTCTTCATTTATTAACGGGATGTCAAGCGAAAGTTTAATAAATAATCTGAAATAAAATATCGTAAAAACCCTATGGGGGTATAAGGGAAAAAGGGTCGTGAATTTAATGACCATACGAATTAAATTTACTTACATAAACAGGGCAAAATTGTTATTCTTACCACTTTATTTTACAAGCTGTGGGATTAAAGGATTTGTCTCCATCTGATGATTAACCAACTTAACATAGCTGAACCCAACATATCCAGGTATATATCTATATCTGATCAATCTTAAATAACTAACGTGACATTTAACTGAAGTAAAACCCCTATATCTATCGATCTATTACTATAGTGGCGTAATGGTGGCAGTGGTAATGTTATCAAGTCTATGTTTTACCCCCTGAGTGGGAGTGGGGAGTCTTACTAACAACCCCTCGGCATTGTTTCCCCCTGAGTGGGAGTGGGGAGTCTTACTAACAACCTCTCGGCATTGTTTACACCTTCATGTTTACTCTGGGGGGAGGGAGGAGGGGGTAAGGGGGCCGAGGGGCATTGGTGCTGCTTCTCACGGATTTGCAAACGGTGCACAGCCAACTAAACTGAACGAGTAATTGATGTTTAATGATGTAAGTTGTCTTGTTTTGTCATATATCTTAATGGACTCTTGGTCTTTAATGGTAATATAAGGTAGGAAATGCTCTAGATATTTATTTAAAGGCAACTATTGTTTAAAGGCTTTGGCTGGGGCTATCGCATTGTTTTACGATGTTATTATTGTCGTAGTATTTCAGGTGGTTAACGTGGATTACTGTTAACAAATGGATATATTGAAGTGATTCTGTTCTTGTGAGCACTCATACATGCTAGGTAGTAATACAGACACGTTAATTGGTGTGAAGTTCTTTCAAAACCAGTATACCAAGCCGAGCCAATCTCAGCTGTCAAATAAGATGCTATATATTCAATCATCATTAGGTTGGGTTACATGTTCAGTATCTCTTAATAACTTGTTTGACATGTTGATTATATTTGAAAAAGATTTAACTTCTTTTTATTACATAAACTCCAAGTGTAACAGGGAAGGTAGGAACAAAATACAGTAATACACTATGATCCCTGCACACCTCAACTAGCAACTTGAGGAAATTTTTAAATAGAAGAAAAGGCAAAACTTGACGACTGTGTGCACCCTTTGCTTATTAATTAATTTATTTATTTTTATATATCCTTTTTGCCACTTATCAGCTTACTAGGCATTTGGTTGCTCTATCCGGTGTTAGTACAGGAAGAAACCAGGGCCGCGGCTCGAGCCCTTGGCATATTGGTGAGTAATGTGCAATACCGCTGTACCGTAGAAAATAAAAGCTTTCTTATCTCATGAAAATGATGAAAAGTGCATGAGCAATATGTTTTGCATAATATTGAAATATAAATAACTTGTATTTTAGGTTAGGTTAAATTAGTTAGGTCAATTTGGTTCATTTTGTGGTTGATGATTTATCTCTGAAGCTCCTGGCTACTGTTAACATTCCTGAGGTAGCAGATACTTTTGTATTTAAATTAGCATTCATAAAATGAAAACAAACTAATGTATGTGACCTAACCTAAAATACAACAGTTATCTTGTATTTTAATCTTATAAAAATAATCTATCCCTTAAATGAAAATAAATTTTCAAACAGGAACAACCTAGAGAGATCATTCTCATAATTTTTTAATGTTGTTGCACAAGTGTAATTAATAACGCGGCAGACCATGTTAGCGTTGCCTCTAAGATTCTCGGCAGAAGAAAACTGTCGGCAACAATTTGGAAAATCTACTCAATGAACACATTTTGTCATTTTCTTGAAGTAAAAAAATATTTCATCTTCCCTGGAGAAATTTTCTCAAGGTGACACTAAGGGCACTCCACAGTTGTCAAGTATTACTAAAGATGAATATTTTCTTACTCCATGAGAAGTCCAATAAGATAGGAATTAATAATTTTATCAAAAAAGAATATATTTTTTACGAATTTTTCCATCCAGTAACATCTACAGCATTTTACTCTCCCTTCTCTTTTTGCTCAGTTACTGGAGGGATTAATGAAATATTCAGTCAATACAAAATATCCTGTACAGTACACTGGAAACACATTGTCAAGTGGTGAACACAGTGGGCTTAATACCATGAAATAAAGGAGTGACCACATAATCACGATATGTTGAGGGTCTTCTGCATAACTAACCTAATATATTCTACAGACAATGCTTCTAAAGTTTTGGATAGGTTAATTTCATATACAGATAGGAATTATTTTTTTACTGATAAGGTAGAATATTGTTGTTGATGGTTTTCCTGTGTCTGTCCATTCCTTATATATATATATATATATATATATATATATATATATATATATATATATATATATATATATATATATATATATATATATATATATATATATATATATATATATATATATATATATATATATATATATATATATATATATATATATATATATATATATATATATATATATATATATATATATATATATATATATATATATATATACACATATATACATATACAGTGACCCCTCCGTTAACGAACTCAATCCGTTCCAGGTTCGTTTAGAAACCATTGTTTCAATGGGTTTTTGGGTAATTGGTTCCAGCTCACCGAAAATTTCCTAAATTCAACAAAAATGGTAGAAAAGTTCACTTACTTTGAGGTGTGTATGTAGAAGGCTCCTGGATGATGATGATGATGATGATGATGGGATTTAGAATGGGGGTGGAGGAGAAGGAAGAAGAGAAGGCATTGGGGTGGAAGAAGTCACCCCATGGCGCCATTTCACCCATAAAATTTTAGCTCTTGGTGGAATTCAAGATTATTTTCTTTAAATCAACACTGCACTGCATTATATATTGTCAATATGTAAAATATATTTCAAAATGACCAATAATTTGCTTGGAAACACAGAAAAAGCGTTTAGTTGAAGAGAGTCTCAAGCAAGATGTTACCTCCAGTGAAAACAGAGAGACTAAACTTTGCTGTGTTAAGAGGCTGGATGCCGCGCATTAAACTAGTCACTTTACCTTCATATGTTCAATAATTGTTAAAATGACTAAAAATTGAATATTAAACTTTTAAAATTATTGAATAGTATAAACTTCTTGATATTTACTAAAATAGTAAGGAATTTAAGCCCTAGAACTGATTAATGTATTGGCGGACTGATACTAAAGCTGGTTGCCCGGTCAGTGTAAGCGAAAACATGTTGAGCTTGGTTCGTAAGAACTTCGTTAACCGAATTGAAGATCCTTATGGAAGGCAGTTCGTTAATCGAAATTACGTTAACCGAGGTGTTCGTTAAACGAGGGGTCACTGTATATATATATAGTTAATTTTAGAATTACAATACTGTACCTGCATGTTCTATGTCAATGTAGCTCACTGAAGATTGTTGTACTGTTCAAGCAAAATAGAAAATTAATGTCTTCTTGTCTGAAACTTTTGTTAGAATGTTTCTTGGATGGTCCTGTCAAAAACGTGTCGTATATCAGTGTGTGCCATAACTATACCAACATAAAGCACTGGGCTCAGGACTAAGGTTCTGTTAAGGTCTTTACTCACGATTCAAAAGTAGATTTGTGCCAAAATAGTTGATAAATGGATCACAAGTTTTAGGCAATTCATGAATATTCAACATTTATAGAAACACTCAACTAAAAATCTGCTGAGCTTAAACATTTACCCAAAATTGAAGATTAGAAGTGGTATTTAATAAATCTGTGCTGTACTATTATGAACTAGCCTTACCTTAACCTTGAACTCAGATATTTTAGAAGGTTAAGTATTTCTTTTATGGTAGACCCAATGTGGTGGAAGCAAACTGTGGCCAGATATACACATGGAGTGAACTGATGATTACAACAACCTGTTCTCATAAAATTACTAAAGCAATGACTACATGGTATATCAATTGACAATGACTGGCCTTAGTTGTCATTACATGTTCCACCATCATTGTTTATCTCTGGAAGACAACGAGAATCTGTGACATAGAATCAGTGGTTGTGTCAGAGTTAATGGATGCATAAATAATATGAAGAAACATCCTCATAAACACTACTGCACTTTTGAGTCCCCCAAGCCATTAGATAAGGAATGAGAAATTGTATCACAGGAATGGCTTCATAATTAATTTAGGAAGAGGGCACATTATTTATAGTTTTAAGTTTAACTGAAATACTGTGCATTTAAGTATCACTTTGAACCGTCTTGCTTTCCAGATAATCTTCAAGCTTATCTGCTAGGATACAAGAGGAAAAAAAAAATCTTACGCTGTACACACAATATTTGTACAAAAAAAGAAACAATATCAAGCAGCTGTTGACAGAGGGATCCATACAGCACTGTAAAGGAAAGAAGAACAAAGGTAAGTAATCCATCACTGGCAGACCAGACCAGTGCTTGACCTGTTCCATAAGAAATTGACCTTATATCATTACTGTATCTGAAATACAAAATGAGGTACTGTACTGTATATATATGGCGCTCAACTATAGCTAACAGCAGACAACCTAATCTATTGTATCTTAATCTTTCTCTCCTTTTTCATAGCACTACCCTATATTATATCTACATAAAGCTTGCTGTACTGTAGCTCTACTGTACTTATATTTATACATATGTCTTATATCTCCAATTTATCATTCCATCACTTATCAATTTTCTACCTCTTGGGTGATTGGTTCTGCTCTTGTTAGCCTTCATTGTCTGGTGCTTGCACAGTTACACTATGACAAATCAGCCTCTGCTACCCTAGTTACTCATTAAATCTCCTTTTCATTTATACTTTCAGGTTGTCCTGCCCTAAGTATGGCTAATTATTTCATGAGAAATAACATGTATACTTCAAAAGCAAGGGATTGTCCATTTCACAGCTTCAGTCATAAAAAGGAACAGCATGGGGAAAGTTATCAAAACTCTCTCCAGCAATCAGAGAAACATTGTAATTGTAATGAAAGAGCAGCTGAACAAACCAGAGATGCAAATTTAGAAGGTGAACGAGGAGAACCTCCTTTAGAAAGATTCATACCGGATGTACAAATAAAAGAGGGTGGGTACTTTTATATTCAGTCCTTCTTCCATTTATTATGTATTGCAGTGGTTCCCAACCCTTGGTGGGCTCTGGGCCTCATTTTTCATCGTAAAAATAGTGGAAGGTGCCAAGATTTTTTATCTACAGTCAAGAAAAAAATCTCGTATACTGTACAAGTATTTGAAGTCTTACACATCTAACTGTTACCAGTTGCTGTACATACTTTTTACATTAAACTCTTGGACAGGACGTGTGTATTTACCCCAGTGCAAAGGCTGGCTCTCTCTCTGGGCCCGGTCTGGGGCACACACACACACACACACACACACACACACACACACACACACACACACACACACACACACACACACACACCTCTCTCTCTTTCCTCTCTCTCTCTCTCTCTCTCTCTCTCCTCTCTCTCTCTCTCTCTCTCTCTCTCTCTCTCTCTCTCTCTCTCTCTCTCTCTCTCTCTCTCTCTCTCTCTCTCTCTCTCTCTCTCTCTCTCTCTCTCTCTCTCTCTCTCTCTCTCTCTCTCTCTCTCTCTCTCTCTCTCTCTCTCTCTCTCTCTCTCTCTCTCTCTCTCTCTCTCTCTCTCTCTCTCTCTCTCTCTCTCTCTCTCTCTCTCTCTCTCTCTCTCTCTCTCTCTCTCTCTCTCTCTCTCTCTCTCTCTCTCTCTCTCTCTCTCTCTCTCTCTCTCTCTCTCTCTCTCTCTCTCTCTCTCTCTCTCTCTCTCTCTCTCTCTCTCTCTCTCTCTCTCTCTCTCTCTCTCTCTCTCTCTCTCTCTCTCTCTCTCTCTCTCTCTCTCTCTCTCTCTCTCTCTCTCTCTCTCTCTCTCTCTCTCTCTCTCTCTCTCTCTCTCTCTCTCTCTCTCTCTCTCTCTCTCTCTCTCTCTCTCTCTCTCTCTCTCTCTCTCTCTCTCTCTCTCTCTCTCTCTCTCTCTCTCTCTCTCTCTCTCTCTCTCTCTCTCTCTCTCTCTCTCTCTCTCTCTCTCTCTCTCTCTCTCTCTCTCTCTCTCTCTCTCTCTCTCTCTCTCTCTCTCTCTCTCTCTCTCTCTCTCTCTCTCTCTCTCTCTCTCTCTCTCTCTCTCTCTCTCTCTCTCTCTCCTCTCTCTCTCTCTCTCTCTCTCTCTCTCTCTCTCTCTCTCTCTCTCTCTCTCTCTCTCTCTCTCTCTCCTCTCTCTCTCTCTCTCTCTCTCTCTCTCTACTCTCTCTCTCTCTCTCTCTCTCTCTCTCTCTCTCATATTTTCATTAATTTCACTCTTACAAAGAAGCCCACATTATTCATAGTTTTCAATAAACCCTTGCGGGCTCCATAATCTGGTTCCACAAACTACAGGTTGGGGACTACTGATGTACTGTATTCTAGTTGAAGGTACTGTGCAGAATTTGAATTTGTTTTTGTTTTGTTTTTAATAATTTAGGATTTAATTAAGCTGGATGCTCTCTACCAAGCAGTTCTAATTACAAGTATTGGACCATTTATCTGGATTCCCGGTATCTGGAACGCTCCAAAAACGCTCTGTTCTCGAACAAATTATTTGAAATTAGCGCCAAAAGTAATTCCTGGGCCGAGCTGGGATATTTCCAACATGTCAGCGATGTGCTATGTTGTGGTTATTTTTCTGCTCATAATTTCGGGTAGATATATCTCATTTTCTTAATTTTCTTTACTCAGTTACATACACACTCAATCTTTCATACAGAAAGTGAAAAATTTATGGGGTAGGTACTTAACACATATTTTTATTTTTTTCATTTTCTCCGTTACATGCACACATAGAAAATGCAAAAATAAAAACAAATATCATAAGGTACTGTACTGTATAAAGTTGTACGTATCATGGGCTACGGCGATACTGTGTGCACTAATTATTTTTGCTTATTATATGCATTCATTATTATGGTACCATTTATATGCTTTTGTTGTTGCTGTTTACTGTACTTGTACTTACAATTTTAAGTTTTAATGTTAAAGTGTACAGTTAAAGTTGCTTTTAAGGGTGAAACTAGTGATCAGAATAGTCTTCACCAGCAGTTACAGAGCCTTATACTGTACATTTTGTACATTTTAGGCCTGGTGCTCCAAATTCTGGGAAAAACCTATCCGGCAAAGCCCAGATTCCGAGCATGTCAGATAAATGGTTCCATACCTATATTGCAGATCCCAGATATTGGGGGTTGGTTCATCACACCTTACACTCTGTAGGAGCCAGATGTTGATACTATGATCATACATCCCTCCTTCACACCCATCAGCCTCAAAATATAGAGACTGTATGCAAAATTTGACTACTGGTGGCAGAAGTGTAAGAACTTCTGCCTACCAAGTTAGTATACACCCACCACCAGCTACAGACTGCCATCTTACCAAATCTGGGACCAGTCTGCCATATGCATTCAGTTGCCAGTTAATCATTACAGAAACGAGACACCTCTTTCCAAACTCGTGCTTACTACTGTCAAGCTAAGGATCCACTCTATATTGTGACACTTTTAGGGTGGTTAGAGAGCAAGACCAAAGTTCTGAGTGTTATATTTAAGTTAAAAACTGATATTTTGTCTTTTGTATATCATTTAGTTTGTGTATGTGATTTGTGACCCAGTTGTAGACAGGTATTCTGTTATTAGCAGGGCCAATGTATGCTCATTAGTGTGCCCTTCACAACACAATAACTCAGCCTGTCTGAGGATAGTTTTATTCCCATACAAGATCTGGTCAAGGACTTTCTAAAAATATATTCCTTGGACTGTGCCTTTTAATTTAATTCCTTCTTTCTACTCTTTGCCTTCCCCTATCCCTGCTCTCCTCAATTTTACCTTTTGATTTACAGTACAGTATCTGCAGTTTCCCTTACCCTTAAATATGTACTATGCCAATGTATCTCATATTTCTCAATAAATTTTCAATATCTCTTGTTGCTGTATTCAATCTTATTACTTCTTCATTTGTGTTTGTATCAGTGTATAGTCAACAACAAAAATTTCTGCACCTTTATGGTGTTTTACAATATGACACAACGAACCAAGAATTCTGAACAACACTCATTTACTCGGGTGATTCCTGTTAATTTCTCTGTATTAACTATATGTGATATAAAAAATACATCATACTGGTTATACAATGTATCACGCAGGCAGAAATACTAACCTTACCAAATTAACGTTGTCTCTGTCAGTGATCGTTGCAGAGGCCATCAGACAAGGGGTGCATAGTTTTTTTTTGCTGACTGTACCTTACCTTTAGCATTCTCCTGTAGCTCCACAGTGTGGAGGCTTACTGCTAGCATCTTCAAGAAGTATCCATGCCTTTGACCTATTCAATACTCTAGTACTGTACATCTACTAATAGTAGTATGTAGCCTTTCAGCAACTTTTCTGTCTTTGCTTGAACTGCTCATTTTAATTTCTTCTCTTACATCACCATCACAAATACAAAAAAAATTTGCTTCTGACTGCCATAATTTTTTATTGTAGCATATATTTTTAATTTGGAAACAATCATCATCCTGCTTTCATTGTTCAATCCCCAGTATTCATCTGAAAGAGGACTTGTGTTGCAGTAAAATATTAGTTCCTTCAGGAGTAAATATTGATTTGTCTGAATGAGAATTTTACTTATTTATGTCAGGGTTAATATTTTTATGAGAAATTAATGTGTCTTCCCACCTACAGAACCACTGGATGTCAAGAACGCAGGTGGAATGAATTTAATGCAAGCTTCTAAAGGGGTTTCTGACCCCAGGAACAGTGGCAGCTTCTCATCTGGGGTATGTCCTATAAATATATTTGTTTTATGTTTAATTGTAATGCAATAGAACCTCTGATTTGCATTCTTGAGGGATGGTGGGTGAACTATGAATTAGACAGTGTTAAAAGGAGAAAAGAAGATGGACGTTGACAAAGAGTACTGTATCTGGAGGCCAAGCACAGGGCCAGAAGAGAGGTTTACAAGGCTACAAACCATGAACAGGATACATTTGTGGATACCTGTATGATGAATAATGCAGATTCAAGAAAAGTACTGCATACAAAATAACAAGGCAAATAGTGGGTAGAAACAAAGACGTTGGGGAGAGGTGAGTTGAGAAGTGACCATGGCAACAATATGGTTATTGATAATGAGGAAATCATGGATCCCAGGAGAAAATCCTGAACTACTATTGCCTGCTGAATGAGGAGTTTGAATGGAAGAAGAGTAGCCTAGGAGCAGTACAGGCACATCACTAGACCACATCGACTAAGGCAATCATGATGGACTAGATTGCTCCAGCTAACTGGGTGAAGAGTGTGATAGTGAACCCTTACAATGGTAAAGGTGATGCTTGAATCTGTTAAAGGCCCCACACACACTCACTTAAGCCTGTGCCAAAATTTGGGTATACGGTATGTGGGATGAATTTTAAAAGTTTGTACTAGTTCAAGCAGTGTTTGAAATCTGGTCTGTGCAGGCAGGTTTGAGTGTGTGTGGGCATTCAAGTTAATGTTTGCTCATGGTAACATGATTTGAAATGGGAAGCTTGTCTTGCAGTGACAGCATCATGGACAAGTCTACATTAGATAGACTGTTCTTGACAGAATTTATTTAACATTGTAAAGATAATCCTTGTTTATGGATTGTTAAGAATAAAGAATTCTCTTCAACAAGAAAAAATGTCAGCAGTGTAATCCTTTGGTGGACAAAGTGAAAGAAGACCGTACAGAAAAAGTAATCAATTGTATTGGAATTCTTTTCATAAAGCAATGTAAACTCATTATGTCAACAAACTATGGAGCATCATCAGATGACATTTACCACCCAAGTTTATGGTATGTACAGTACAGTACTTGGAGATTCTTCCATTTCGGAGGTGAGCCGTTCACATTATGTATCTTTTATTTCCTTTGGCTCAAATTCTATTCCAAAATCAATACATTTATATTGGTAAATAAGTGACAATTGGAAATTTTGTTGTTGATATATTTATCAAGTTCCAAACCTAGCAAAGGCACTAAGGAACATTGCCCCCAAAGTGCTTCTATGTCCCTTGTCCCAAATCCTGGAGCTACCAAATGTACTATCTCTACACAGCGCAGTAATAACTATGACTATGATGCTCGTTTGATAAAATACAATTTATAAGTTTCTTTTCTATAATTGACATGCTGATGCCATGCAAAAGGCTTCGTTTATTGACTAATTTGTTGACCAATTTGTTAAAGATACAATACTGCAAAATGCCTAAACAGTTTTGTACAGTACAGTATTGTGTTTTACAGGAAGTGGTGAGTTCCTCTGTTAAGAACTCAGATACAGATTCCCAACCCACCACAGTCCCTCTTACTCAGCGTTCTTCTGTATCTAATATTCAGTCTGCTGCCAGACCCACAGTACCCAAGAAAAGAGGAAGTCATGATGTGTGTGATAATATTTTGACCTTGATTGGGAAGCGCCTTCAATCCTCACGCCCAGAAGATGAGTTTGACATAGTGGGGAAGAATGTAAGTCACAAGTTAAGAAGGCTAACTAGAGAACAACAACTTTATGCAGAGAGGTTGATAAACACAGTGCTTTTCGAGGGAGAGTTGGGCAATCTCAGCAGAAATAGCAAGATTATAATTCAGCCAGGAAACTGAGCTATGGAGTATACTGTACCTGACCTTTCCTGCAACATGTTTGGATACCAGTAAGATTTTAAGTGTGCCTCAGGACTGAAGACGCCCAGGATCAGCTTTATCAATTTGTATCGTGATTATATGTTAAATGTATGTATAACTAATTTGAATAAAGTATGAGTGAAGTGATGAAGTGTGTTTATGATTATGAATACCTGAAGAAGTATTAGTGTAGCTATGTTTTGTTCTGCTTGTTTTATAGACAGATCAAAGATGTTGTTATAAAGCTTTTCTGTGAGCTTAATGGCAGTAATTAATTCAAAATTATATTAACACTATTATTACATAAATTATCAGTATTGACATATTATTCATTCCTGGCATGACAGTCCCATCACTGTAGGGATTTTACAGAAACATTTCTCATATACCGGTAGTACCTTCTTGTCCAGTTCGTTAGATTGCCTCTTGTGTCCACTTTCTAGACTGATGAAAGAATCAATTGTATGAGACACATTATCAAATTCATCAATTGAAACACATAGATTACCACCGACTTAGCCAATAATTATGTAAAACACAACAAGCCATAACAATGACATCTGGTTCTTCTAAATTCAAGTGATATTGCACACATCAGCTGAATGAGTTTGAAATGTTCATACGTGTGGCTTGTTTGCCATGGGTACTCAAGGATATGTCATATATGTGAAGTGTAGAAGTTAAAGTGTTACAAGGTATTAAGAGCTTAAGCCTCACACACACGTCCTTGGGGTATGTGGTGAAAAAGATAAAAGTAAAAAAATACAAGATTAGAAGATATAATAAAAAGATTGCAGCCAATTTGAAACTGATAATGCTTAGTTTGGGCTCCCAATACACCTTTTATGTTACTAATGATAGAAATTATGTTGGTCAATTGCCTTGTAATAACTGATCAGGAATTAAACTACAGTGAACCCTCACTTTACGCGGTCAATTGAACCCACGGCTGCCCGCGTAAAGTGAACAACGTAACATTTGGGATTAATTGAAATAGAGACCGGGCCAACCCCCAAACTCCACTTTTTCAGACACAATACCTACGTTGTAGTAAAATTAACTTCTTAATTTTATGATGGTATGCACACACAATTAATAATTAAGAGAAATATCAATAACATTAGGTTTTTTAACACTTACATTAGTAGAAAAGATGGCTGGGCACACGGGGATGGGGGGTTGGTTCCGAGGCAGAGGGCAGATTATTGGCCCTCATCCTTGTATCACTATCCACCACAGAGGCTTGCAGGGCCTCTTTGTCAAACCCCTCAAAGTCCATATAAGTCCATATCCTCACTATCATTATCACTATCACTGACTTGGGCCGGCTGTGGTGGGTGGCGGGTGAAGAACTCGGTAATGTTTTGATGACTGGGTGACCTTGTGCGCACCCTGCTCGCGCCGCTCTCCGCGTAAAAGGGTACACACACCGCGGAAAGTGAGCATTCCGTGTTCGGCAGGGTACCGCTTAGACGTGGAAACGCGTAAAGTGGGACCGCGTAAAGCGAGGGTTGACTGTATAATATCAGGTTGATCTTTTGTTTATTTTGCTTCTAATGGGAACTCCTAATGTAGGAATCCAATATCCAACACTTGATCAACTTACTGCCCACATCAGAGCTTGAATATAACCCTGTCTTGTTTTTCTGTGGCTACTAAAAATAAAAGGGCACCTCTTGCTTCAAAACTCACTCTGTCTCAATGTTGTGAAGAGGTATTCAGTAGAGTATTTTCATAAGCAAAACTTCTATTTGTAATTGTTTCTATCTGTTCCTCAGGTTCATGGTTCAGTGGGTGAAGGACCTTTGCAAACTGGACAAATGGGAATGGTTGCAGGACAGAATGCACAGTATGGGCAAGAGAGAATGACCGGTGAAGAAAAAGATGCAAAACTTGCTTCAGATTCAAAAGTGCAAGGCAAATACCGACATTATTCTAGAGAAAAAACGAAAGAAGAAATGACAGAAGAGGAACTCAAGGCATTACAAAGTGAAAAATATCAACAGAAATGGGAGAAGATGAGTGAACAAAAGAGACTAGCAAAACGAGCAGCAAACGCCAAAGCACAAAAATTATATCGCCAGCGTATATTAGAAGGTATGACCGAGGAACAACGTCAAGCGTACCGAGCTGCTGCAGCCGAGGCAGAACAAATACGTCGTCGTCTTCGTAGAGAAAGTATGACGGAAGAAGAACTTAAAGCATTCCGTGCAGCAGCAGCTGAAACACAAAGAAAAAAGCGGCAACTTCAGAAACAACAAATGAACAAAGAACAGGTTAGAGCAGAATATCAACCTCCTCCTCAAGCTGTTGTTCCACAACACTCCTGTCAGCAGCAGCAGCAACAGCAGCAGCAGCAGCAGCAGCAGCAACAGCAGCAGCAGCAGCAGCAGCAGCAGCAGCAATCAAATATGAATAAACCAGAACTAAACTTATATTGTAGAGAACATGCTGATGCAGAAAGAGCAAATATGCATTACCAAATGGAAAAGCAAATGGAACAAGAGCATATTGAAAAATATACAGCAGCATCAGATGTAGCACGAACAGAAATGCGTCACTTCAGGAAAGAATATGAATAGATGCTCGGAAGTCTACTTTATTAGTAAGACAACATCTGAAAATTCATCCAGAATCTCCTCTTAGCTCCATCTCTGCACATCCTGTAGACTCTTCCTTCCACCAGTACATTCCTGCATCTCACTTCTTCTCTCATCTCCTTATATTTTTTGTGCTTATTTTCTGTTCTCATCCAATTCACTCTATATACTGTATACAGTTGGTCATCTTTCATCTTCATTTTAACTCATGTCTATGCCACTCCACAACTTATTTTTCTCTTACATTTTCTTACCTTGTTTATGCTCCTTTATTAGTTTATCTTGTTTAATCTCACTGATGTACTACACAGGTATCCCTCCAATTACAGAAATTCACAATAACAGAATCCTAAAAGGTAGCGCCAACCACCTTTCACTGGCATATCAATTAACCTGTTGTTTCTTATGTAAGCTAATTATTGAAGGATATGAATTTGGTGTTTAAGTTTATTTATAGTGAAGTAAGTTCTTAAATTCCAATACTTATGACAGTAAAAACGGGTTACACATTCAAGAATTGGCCTCTTCAGTACCTCAATTTAAAACAGAAGTACAGTATACCTTAATAAGTTACAAGTACAGGTAGTCCTCATCTATCACAAATTCACCCACACAAATTCTTCTAACTGAGGAGCATGAACTAGAATCTTGTTGATCCAGTGAGGCATCAGATCACACACTGCCATGAGAGTCAGCTCGTACACAGCGCTCAATAAATCCCTTATTACTACAACTTACACAATTCTTTTGTTCATTCTTACATTTATTACATGCTTATGCTATTAACCCCTTGTGTACGGGATCCCCTCTGTGCTGAATAAAATCGTCTGACATTAGCCAAATAAAATATTAAAAGTGGCATCCCGGTAGTGAAGGGGTTAATGTTATAAGATTGGTAAAGGTGGATGTAGATGGTGGTGGCTGGTCGTCAGTTGATGAACCTTTTAGGTAGATGCTCGGAGATGTGTCAGTTTATGCACGGCGGTGAAAGGGTTAATATGCATGTGCCTCCTAATTGCACTTTATATTGTATTTCATATACAGGTACTGTTTTGTACTGTATACTTGTATGTATTTCATGTTTTTTTTATATATAGATTTTTAAGTGTTTCTGTACAAAAAATCAGCCTAAGTACCTCCAGAACTCCCAGCCAGGAATGCATCCCCCTTTAATACAGTACAGTACAGTATATTGTTTCTTATGGCAAAATTAGATTCACATACAGTAATCAATTTCACAGGTCACAAAATTTTTCCAGAAACAGAACCTAGAGATAAATGAGGACTACTGTACTTCCATAGTCTATAAGGAGTAAAAAAAATAAAAAAAATTTAATTTGCATTTTAAAAGTTTCTTTGGAGTAATTTTTTAAATAAGTTTTGGGGGGAATATTTTTGTATACATAGAAACACATCTCTGGTTATAAAATGGAAGTCATTGAAAGAATATATTGTTACTCGCAGATTTGCGAGTTAGACAACTTTTCAGAAACGTAAAACTTTCGTAACTCAAGGGGTTCCTGTACTGTATTATATATTTATAATACTATCTGTCTTCAAAACCATATTGTGCATTCTCAATTGCTGTTCCCTTTTTCAGACATAACACCATTTTGAATTGCTCCTCACTACATTTTTTCTCCCAAATATTCTTCAAGGTTTTCTCACTACTTCCTCTAACTCTTATGCTACTTCCTACACAGAAACTTTATCTCATACTATTTTAGTTGTTGATGGATTAGTGTAAAATTACTAACCTTATTACAAGCTTAAAGACCTTACCCGTTGAAGCGCAGTAATAACATTATAACATCAATCACTTCCCTTTATTAGCACTGTTGCATCTTCTATCAAACAGACCTGATTTCAAGCTTTCTCCTATACAGTACAATGCAGTAGACCCTCGATACAGTGCGACAACTTCTCGTTCGCACTCTCACACGTTAACACTGAGAATCTACTGCATTGTCGTCCTATGCTGGGATCTGAGTTTCCAGCCACTCACTTTTATCTTGCCACCCACCCCATGACTTTGTACATTATGCACCGTAATGTAACCTTATGCAAGTGAATGAACTAGAATAAATAGTGTATATTGAATTCATACTACTTCTCCTGTCTTAAAAAAGAGGCCAGGGGGATGTTGTCGTTTAGTAAAATGTTTGTCTACTTGTCTGATTGCTGTGGATTTATTTTTTAGGCATTGTATTGAAAGCCAAGAGAAGGGGGATCAGGACTAAGGTGTGGTTAGAAGCAAGAGTTAATCCAGTCAGCCACATAGGAATTACGTCATGTGAATGTAAGAAACGTTACACTATGATCACTTTACTGAACACTTGAGAGGTGAAAGTAAGCAGAAGGTCGAGGATCTTTTATGTCTCTGAAAACCTCGGGGGTGGGGTGGGGGGGGGCTGATTTAATTTAGTTTACAGATATATTTTGAGGTTATATGATGATTATGCCTGCTTTAGATTTCACTAGCCCATGCTGGCCTGGATCCAGACCTCAAATCTGACCAGTGGAATTTTTCTCCTACTTACAGTTTATGACATTCCTAATTTATTGATGTGAAGTTTAGAGTATCCTTGTCCCTTCCCCTTGATACTCGCATACAATCGGGTCCATTAAAAAAAGTATCGGTTTTGGGATGTTTTCAGTTTTCAGATAAAGGATCGTCGGCATGTACTATGCAGGAAAGTACAGTATTAGTTCCAGATGAATGAGGCACTTGGGGCGAGAAGTAGACAAGCAACAAAAGCAAAAAAAATAAATAAATAAATAATAATAATCACAGTTAAAGTTTCATAATTTTAACATAATTATAAGTCTTAATTATAAAAAAGGTGTCTTATTCAAGTTTTTTTTTATTTTAGCTTATGATCTATATATTATGATTAGAACTATTAAAGGTATCACATTATATTTTTAAATTTTAACTTATGATCTCTAGATTATGACAAAGAATTAAATGTAAATTCTGTAAACATTAAAAAAAAATGGCTGTATTGCAAGGTACAGGTAGCAACTACATCATCATTAATATTTGTTTAGGCCAATCATCCCATTATCTACACTTTGTCATATGAGTAAGGTATTTTGGATGTGTTTGCAAGTGCTGAATATATATTGTCTTGTTTTAGTTACCATATACAAATCTTTTACTTGTATATATTTATCTCATGGTTTTGAAACAGTCAATGAAACCATAGTATTGTACAGTAATTCCCTCATTTTATATAATTGTAGGCAGGACTGGAACTCTTGAGGGTATGACTGAATATGGGAAAAATTTAAGTAATGACAGTGGTGTGGATGTGAAGAACCAGGATGAAAAGTGGATGATGGCCATGTTTAGTTTGTAAGAAGGATGTTGGTGGTACAGTAATGTGCAGTGAGTGTGGAAGGTTGGTACAATGAGATGCAGTGGTGTAAATGGCAGACTGCAGGATGTTGCTGACTTTGAGCGTGATGTACAGTATGTATAGGTAATCATGTGGCCTAATTGCAAGGCTGGAAAAGCTTTACATTAGGGATTTATCTCTGTACTGTACTTTATTGTGTCGATGAGCCCTGCTACTTGGGCGACATAATCATAGCTGAAGGTGATACTGAAGCTAGCTCAGTTGTAAGAGTCAGAAGTGGCTGGAAGAAAGTAAGGAAGCTGTTGCCTTTATTGTTGGTAAAAGAATCTTCTCCATGTGAAAGGAAAGATGTATACAGTTGACATGAGAAGTGAGCATCCCAGCACTAGAATGGGATAAGTGTCATTTTTAAAAAGGCGAGAAAATCGCATCCAAACTTATGCTAGAGTAAGGTCGTGTGTAGAAAATATGTTTAGCTGGTCATGGTGCTTATCCCATTGTGGTGCTGCAGTACTCAAGTATAATGTATGGCAGTGAAACAAGGGCAGTTAAGGAGGATGACTTATGCAGGCCTGGGCTAGCTGAAATGTGAAAGGTGCAATGGATCTGTAATATAATATTAAGTGATGGACAGCCGTGTTTTGCATAGAGGTAGGTCAGTTTGGGTCAAAAGATCCAGGAGTTTGAATGTGGAGGGGATGACAAGAATGACATGGGGAGAGGTGAGAAATTACATCAGAGTTAAGAACCTGATAAAAGAAAGTGCAAGAGACTCTGTAGTATGGAGACCTGCCATCACTTAACCCACACAAGTATGTAAAATGGCCATAAAACAGGTGGTGATGATGATGATGATGATGCAGTCCTTGGTGTATCATTTGTTTCAGCTAAAAGTTAGGCGTCTTTAAGTGTTACCAGAAAATTAGCTAAAACGCTTTATGAAAATTTGGATAAGGCCAAGATAGATAGTATTACAGTACGTATTTTATTTTAGTGATATTATTTGTTCTTGTATTAACATGGGATTGTAGAGTGACCAAGTGTGTGTGCAGTAACTAATAATTTAACAGCCTGTATGTTTGAAGTGTAATTTGTTTTAGAATATACACTTAACCTTTACTGGCATTTTTCTCCCGCATAATCCAGAGAATTCCACATCTTGAAAATTAAATCACTGCTCCTCGGAAAAAGAGGAGTGAAATACAGTAATAAGGTGGTAAGTTCACTATGTATTCAATAATATTTTTATAATATTTAACTATTCTGGTTCTCATGTTCATGTAAGTTAGATGCTCGATCTCTCAGCTCCATTATACAGGCACTTCCTATTTTACATCTAGTGCCCAGTGTATGGTCAAATATGGTTAGTAACATGGCATCCAGGCACCCTATTACCCACAAAGTCTATTGATCTCTTATTCACAAAAGTCTCATTTGATAAATTACATCCACTCCCTAAACATGGAAGTTAGTGAGCTAGCCACCAGATGGTGTCTTTGTTTGTTTTGAGTTAGTTGGTGCTGTTTCACAAACCCTGAGATTCAGACTCATGAACCTGAAGCATTAAGCTAGGATTCCATTCACTCATTAGCACCAAAAATAGATCACATTGAAAGGTACACGGTTGTTTCCATTGTCACAGTTGAGTTAGCGTTATGCATTTGCAGTACATGCCAATCACTTCCTGTGGCAATTGAAAATGCAAACACACTGCAAACGCGTGGATGGAATCCTAGTTTTAGACACTGGTACATTATTCTGTCCATAAACACTTCTGATTCACGAATCAGAAGCTCAGGGTTTGTGGTTCAGAAGGAGAGGCGACACGACTTTTGTGGGTGACTGGATAAGTTACCTCCAGGATGGCCTTTGGGTTATATCTCTGAAAATCAGATCAATCTCTCCAGATACTGGTACTGTATAGCCTAGATTGTCCATGGAAATAAGAGAAAGCAGAAGGTGCCCAGTACTTCAGAAAAAGTCGACCTCACATAATGGAGCGAACACTTCCACTCGGACTAATAACGCACACCGACTCCTGCTAAAATGTATGTGGACAAGAAGAGGTACTGTACTGCAGCATTTTTTAAGTGAGTACACTCTATCCAAAAGGTATCTTTATGGATTGGTCAGATAAATTTCAAAATGAATACTGCGACATGTTGTCTCGGTGAGGTTGTCAAAATCCTTTGTCTGTTGTGCCATTGTCTCATACAAAATAAAAGATACTTTTTGGAGCGAGTGTATGTTACAAAGATATTAAGCAATATTCTTAAAGTAAAATTTAGGTAAAAGTTATTTTTCTTTACAGCTTTAGTAATGTACCTGGGAACAAATATATTTACGTGGACTTGGTTTCTTTTTATTATTATTATGTGAACATCTCCAGGCCCCAAGGTGTTTGTATACTATGTTGTTGACTCCTTCATCAAGTATCATATCTGGTAAAACACATTTGTTCATTAATTCATGTTTTGTTTTATACCAGATGATGATTATAGTTAAATAATCACATCAACTGCCTCTATAATTTCATATGCTTGGAGAGATTGATCCACACTTTATTTCTAGGCAGGAGTAGGAAGTTGAATTACACGAGTGAGTTGAGTACCATATAACTTTACCTTGAATTCTTTACTTTAACGAATACACAGAAAATGTTCCTCCTTATAGTGTACCACTTTGAGTAAAGGACATTTTCTTCTTTGCTGTTACACCCTTGTCTTTAAATACAGTACTGTACACTGTATCCCTGAAAGAGCTACAAGGGTACAGTAATCAATGGTATCAAACCCAATATACAGCAATTGCCAGATATTTTACTTAGTCAATCAATTAATCAAACCTATAATAGAAAACATTCATATATAAACAAATTAATTATATTTTCATGTGCCCAGTTGTGGTCACCAAAACCTATCTCTATATTGACCAGGTAATTGGGTGTCTCCAAGTACCCATTAATGTTGAGGTTCGTATTGAAACAGCCTCTACAAAACACCTGAATGGTTAAGAAAGCATAAATGTACTCTTTAACCTTTATCATCTTCACTGAGATTTATCTGTATACTTGAGAAATAATAAATTATGAAAAGCAATTAATAAAAGTAAATACAGAAATAATAAGAGTTATGTTTATATTACTCATAGGTCATCACTGGTTACAAAATGGTAGCATCCAAAAACCAAGAAAAAATAAATAAAATAAATTAAATCTGTTTAAAATAAAAATACAATCTAAGGATACAGTTAAGAATGTCTCAGTCTCATTAAATTTCTTTCCTCTACAATGGATGTTTTTCTGTAATAATTATGTTAAAAAAATACTTGGATGGGATGGAAGTACAGTGTACTGTACATATATGTGTACGGACAGGTGCAAATCATTATACCTTGACACACACACACACACACACACACACACAAAAGAAGCATACCGTAATAGAAATAAAGACAGTACACGTATTAGAAGAATAGTTTTATTAGTCCATAAATACATAATTTTACTTTCAGGCGGACTATCTATGGAGACATCAAAGTTCCAAACACTCCTCTATACAGTACATGAAACCTTCAGAATACATTCAATGCAAACTGAACCAAAATTTCTGATGGTGCACATATGAGTGCCTTATTAACAAACATTCCTTACCATCCACGTACATGAGGTCAGAAAATATGATAAGTAAAATTAAAACAATTACTGTATCCTCCATTATTTTGTACTGTACCCGAGTATAATAAATACCCACAATTATCTCGTAGCTGGGAAAGAATACACACTATCTTCCATTATCAGGGTCAAACATTGAAGACACAGACAAATCATGACTTGTACCAGGTCCGTACTTCCACCAAATGGTATTTATACAGTACCTCTTTAATATGATGTTCCCTTTACACTTAAATCCAATTTCAGTCTGGATAATGAAGCTGCTCCGAGGCATAATTAATTCAGGTGTGTGTGTGTGTAACCATTTCAGTGAGAGAAAACTAAGTCGGTCATAGTTTTATGCTAAAAAATTTAATATTTTTTATAACAGGGGAAAAATGAGTGATCTGTGAAATCCATACCACTAAAGAAAAATCTAAATAGGAGCTGGACACAGTTGAAGGCGAAGAAACAAAGTTCTATTTGGCAAAAACTGCTAAAGCTGGATTTGACATGAGTTTAGTTTCTTTCCTGCTTCTTCTCGGGTCAGGGTTGCTTCAGCTGCTGTTTGGTTATGGCGTCCCTAGGTCCTGAGCCCCAAGCCTTTGGTGAGCAAATTTATGAGTCATTCTAGTCAAGTCTAGGTTATAAAATTTCTCCTTTATGAAATTCTGATTATGAAGTTAGACAGTCATTTTGGATACTGATAAAAACTATCCAAGATTTTGCACTTTTGTCCTAAATCCTCATTGGTCATGCTGATGACAACTGGATAAAATGTAAGTCCAGTGTTATAATATACTGTACTGTATACTGTGCATGTCTAACTCAAGTGGGCGAGTTGTGCCGCTTGCAACCAAAAACACAATCCGACACTGTCCATCTGGGTAATGTAGTCTGCCATTAAAAAAATTTAAGGGGTTATCTATTGCTATGGACTTCACAGGTCACTTGATAATGACCCACTTGTCAAAACCGCAAATACTAAGGATACAGCTGTCTCCCTGGCCAACTACCCGGTAACTCATAGGGTCTTTAGCTGTCTCCTTGGCCAACTAACTCTTAGGGTCTTTCTACACCTAATGTTTGGCTCATACTGTTTTAGTTTTTGCCTGTCAAATATCCACTGGTGGAGAATATACATACAGTAATGTCTTCTCATGTGGAAGCTAATCATATGTCTGAGGGTTCATGACAACCTGGAATGGAATATTTTGTCCAATTGTTTAGTTGATGATCAGTAACATGAGCTAAAACACACTAGTGACGTCATTTTCATGTTCTGTTATGTTAAGAGACAGTGTCCTTGTACTCCTGTTTTGTATGCTAGGAGACAGTGTCCTTGTTCTCCTGTTCTGTATGCAAAGAGACAGTGTCCTTATTCTCATGTTCAGTTATGTTAGGAGGCAGTGTCCTTGTTCTCATGTTCAGTTATATCCTCCTGTGGCTGACCCAACACTAAGCATTCATATGATGTTCCTCACTATTTGTTCCATCTTGATGAGAATTAATGGAATTATTTAATCTCTTGTTTTATAACTGTGTCTTCACCTTCAACATGGTTCAGTGCTTCTGAATACTGTTGTGCTTGCTGAAAGTAAACACAATACAGTCTTAATATATACAATGACATGTACCTCATGGAAACAAAGAGCTATTACCATATTTATGTAAGTGTAAAATGCCTCAAACACGTTTTTTTGTACATTAGGTTTTAAGAATATAAGAAGTTGAGAGACAAGATACTGTACTATCCTGAATAAAATATCATTAAAACTACAGATGTGCATATTGGACTTGTTATAATATTTTAATACAATGTACAAACTGCTTTAAATAGGAATATATACAAGAGTTTGATTAAAGACATGTAACCTGATGGTAATGAATTATGTTATCATGTTCACAACCAAGTGTATAAAGAAGCAAGAAAAGTTGATGAGATCATATGAACCTGAAGAATATTTGTATGCATGTATATACAGGCAGTCCCCGACTTACGACGGGGTTAGGAACCCAAATCCAGGTCGTAAGTCAAGAGTGCGAAAATAATACATAGAAAATCTAAAATGGGTGTCTCTTTTTCTTCTCAGCACCACAAAACTCTCACTTTTTAACTAGCCAGCCCTTTTAAAGGGAATTACAAACGAAAATTTTGTCAGTACACAGCGCAATCACTAACGTCGGGACTCAAAAATACGTAATTTGAAAAAATTTTGGCACGACTGAGGCGGTCGTATGTCCGGGTGGTCGTAAGTCGAGTAGTAGCTGTACTTAAACCGTTCATTCAACAAGAAAATGGAAGCAAGAGTACTATGATATTAAGAATTATAAAGTTATGAAGGTGACAAGGAAGCTGTGATACTAGTGACATGAAAGGTCAAAGTATCATCAGAAAGAAAGATGTGATATAGGAGTAATGAATGGCAAGAAAACTATTAAAAGCAACAGATGGACTATGTACTGTACTAAGGTGCCTATGGGATGAAGGGGTAGATACAGTCCCCTTCACTAGTGCATTTACAGGGGGTCATCAGATTTTGTGTAGTGTGCAGCCCTGTGTTTGTTTACATTCAACAGAAGGAAACTCGCAGTAGTACGGTAAACATAATATGGAATGAAATTAAAGTAATATTAAAACAAATATTTCAAAGATAATGATTTGTTGAATGTTTATATGACAAGCCAGTGCAAATGCACTAGTGAAGGGGACTTTACCTGTATATAGGTAGTGATGTACTCCAGAATATGTTTATAGTCAAAGTTTGAGATATAGCATTAGTAACATTGTTGTATGGAGGAAGAAAACATATGATGTGCCCATAAGAGTAATGTACCGGTATACATTTTTATATTTCGTTATTCTTTTTTGCATACCTACCATCATAAACTGCAACATCAGATTATAAGGTGTGGTGTCTTCTGCTGCAGGATGTTGCTGAGCATGGATAGTCCAGTATTTTCTTTTGTAGACTGCTGTAATTCTCCCTGTGGTGAAGCCGATGCAGGTACATATTGTCCTATTTCTTCCTCAATTCCATCATTCATTTGGCACAGCTGAATTGTTTTGTTGTCTTGGCTGCTACTATACGGGATGAGCTTATATTTTTTTTTATACTAGCTTGCTTATGATATTTTTGTAAAGTAACTTTAACTGTATGATGCATTTGTAGTTCATTTTCAGATTTTGTTTGTTTCTGTAAATGATATTTCCTTCTTTTTGACGCTGCCTGTGCTGCACGGTGTCCCTTAAGCTGTTCTTCAGTCATTCTTTTCATACGGAGATGACGACGCAACCGTTGTGCTTCAGCTTCGGCAGCATGATGAGCTCTTTGTTGCTCTTCAGTCATATTTTGGAGCTTACGCTTACGGTAACTTCTTTTTGCTATTGCATCTTCCTTTTGTTTGGCTTGTCTCTGTTCTTCAGTCAGTCTCTCTAGCTGCCGACCACGACGTCTCCTCCGTTCTCCAGTTGACTCTGTACGTCTGATTTGCTTCTTGTGTCCAACCACTGACTCATAAAGCTGAAGAAATTAAAGAAAACTCAATAGCTTAATACAGTATCTATGAATACAACAGACTGTGCAATATTTTAACATACAGTGCAGTGCAGTACTGAACTGTATTACAACAAGAAAAACTTAATTGTTTTCAGTATACAAACACACAGTTGCCCCCATATATCTCCTTATTATATACCTGCCTTCTTGGCACTGTCAAAGGCCCACAACTTATATGAACTTACACTACACATACAAGATGAGACACTGTTATTATCATTAATGGAGAGGTGATCCTTGTCCAGAGAGGGCACGTCCCCAGCGTCACCACAGATAATATCATCCAATGGTTCTGGAAGAAATTGCAAAAAGTATGTACTAAATTTGATTTTCCCCCCTAATTTTAAGCTGCCTATTGTTGACAACCCTACCGAGAGAACAGGAGCCTCAGTGTTCATTTTCAAATTCATTGGATCCCTCTGTGAAGATACTTTTTGAAGCCAGTGTAAAAAAAATATTTACGTTACAGTGGTCCCTCGGTTAACGAACACAATTCGTTCTAGAAGGTCGTTCGTTAACCGAAACCATTGTTTCCATGGGATGTTGGGTAATTGGTTCCAGCTCACCGAAAATTACATACAAAGTAAAAATAAATGCAGTAAAGTACACTTACTTTGAGGTGTGTATGTAGAAGGCTCCTGGTTGATGATGATGATGATGGGAATTAGAAGTGGGGGTGGAGGAAAAGGGAGAAGAGAAGGAAGTGGGGGTGAAAGAGAAATCACCCCATGCTTCATGCCGTCATTTCACCCATAAAATTTTAAGTTCACTTGGTGTAATTCAAGATTATTTTCTTTAAATCAACACTGCACTGCACTATATATTGTCAATATGTAAAATAAATTTCAGAATGACCAATAATTGTACTGTAAAAATGTAAAAATTGTTTATGTTCAAGAGAGCCACAAGCAAGATGTTACTTCCACTGACCAGAGATACAAACTGGCACCTTGCTGGGTGAGTCAAGTGGCTGATTGGCACACAAAAAACTAGTTTCCTGTACTGCAATTATGTTAAATAAGTGTTAAAATAACTAAAAAAATTTAATATAAAACTTGGAAAATCATTGAATAGTACAACCTTCTTGATATTTACTCAAATGGGAACGAATTTAAGCCCTAGAACCGATTACTGTATTGGCGGACTAATATTCCAGCTGGTGAGCAAGCGAAAACATGTTGACATGATTTTGTAAAAATTTCGTTTACCAAATTTTTTTTGTTAACCGAATTGAAGATTCTTGATTCTTATGGAAGGTAATTCGTTAACCGAGGCGTTCGTTAACCTAGGGATCACTGCGTGTATATATATATATATATATATATATATATATATATATATATATATTAGTTGCCATATCACTTGGCTCTAAAGTCTGGCGGGCTTTTGATATAAAATTAATTCATTATCTTCTGTGTCCTTTAGTTCAATTCAACTTAAGAGAGTTGGTTTGTTTTTAATCTAAGCCACTGTGAATGAGGTTATTCTAATAGTAAATCAAGCCCCAATAAGGTCTGGCATCAAAACAACACTGCAGGGCCAGAGGCTATATGTCTGAGATCGTAATATAAATAAAAATTATGTACAGCACAAACTTACCAGGTTTTACTTCAACAAAAGATATCAAGTTGTTTAGAAGCTGGTCTTTATCTACCAGTGGGTCTTCATCAACATTTGAGTATCCTCCATCTTCTGCTGGAATGTAAATTCATGCTTATCACGTACTGAACATTGATTATAATCCTACACTAGTCTTTTGCATTGCACGTACAGTACATGAGACAATACAGGTAATATATAGTAACAGTATACTTGAGATTTCTGTAATGAATGTTTACAATGGGTGATTTTTTACAGTGAACCTTTAATGAAAAGTTTTTAGTAGTATATATACAGTGTGTCTCAAGGTTAAGAAATACTTGGCAAACATTACCTTCATTATGTATTGGTTGGCTGTGTTTAAGAAGGTTTTCAGGTGCTTCTCTCTTTATCACAGGAAGACATCTTACTTGCTCATTTTTTCTTCGATCTTTAAATAATTTTGCAATTTCTCTACATCTGCATGTAGCTCCTATCTTCATGTATTTCTTTACACCAGCCATTGCATCATGTTTACTCTGTACAACACTTTCTTCCCGTTGCAGCTCTTGCATTTTTTTATATATGTCTATTAACTGCTTTTCTCTTTTTTCCTTCAACGCTGCTTTACGTTTTTGCTTTATTTTCTTTGCAGCTTTTGATAGCCGTGACAAATCAGACCCTCTTTTCCTAGGCATGGTTGTTGTACCTGTAAAGAAAATGGAGGATTACTTTTGAAATCCCATTCTATAAGTGAGTCTGATTAATGCCATACTATCACACATTGGTAATGGTCAATAATGGTCTAGCATTTTTAAATGCATCCATATTAAATGTTTATCTATGTACAGGTACCTTGTAACTTTAAATTCAATCAGGAAAACACAGTAATAGTGTAGTTTAGGGCGCTGAAGGTAACATTACTGGTATTACTAATTTTACTCCCAATTGGGTTACAGCAATTTTGGGTTCACCAGAAGTTATATACCACTTCCATCACAAATGGATAATAACCAAGATGGTAATTTCACACAGGAAATTCTCGTAAATCTGCATTCCCCACGTGTCGTCTGTTTACAACTGAGTCTGAGCGTACTCTCATGTCCACAAAAAAAAACGTAAAATTACACCATGATTCTTCAACAAAGTTGATTTCATTGGTACTAGATATCAAAATAAGTACAGTACTTTTTGTTAAATATGGTGCCCTAGGCTCTATGGGTGATAACTCAAAAACGACTTATTTTCGATGGAAATGAAAGTCAAATTCGTATGAATTGGACCAAATACCATGGGAAAACTAAAATTTATGGTCGAACAGTAGTTGGGGCTGAAACTGCAAATTTACCACATTACTAATAGAGTACAATACAGTAGCTTATTTTCTTTGGCAGTTTAGCTTGTACAGTACAAGGTCCAGTGTATTTTTTTAATTGAACAATCCCAGAAGAGCTCCACCAGCTTAATAGTATATTTACAAGAAAGTTGTTAAGACTGTTTTGGGAAAAAAAAAACACAGTACTGTACTGTGTACAGATACATTCTGGAACCAGTACTTGCCAACAGTATGTAACAGACAGGGGTAAGATTGTTGTTTCAATCATTACTTAGAAGTTGAAATTATGTTTTTCCAATGGTTTTTTTATGTGTTTAGAATGATTCTGACTTTCATTTATACCATAAATCACTACTTTTTGAGCTATAACCCCCTTTATCCAATGATAATGGGGGACCCCCCAGTGGGAACCAAGGGTTTTGGTAGGTTAAAATAAAAAAGGTAGTAATTTGCGGTCGAACTAAAGGTCAGAATCGTTCAAAACATCCAAAACCATCGGAAAAACATAATTTCAACCTAAACTAACCAAGCCTAAATCAAACCTAACCTATCCACCTGTGTGCTTACTTTAATTAGACTCAGATAACTCAGAGTTGGGTCATTGGGGTCCTCCTCCTTGTCATCCACAGGTCGCACTGGCCGCTGTTTCTCTGACTGCGGGGGATAGAGCTTGCTGGCAGTGACGAAGAACTGATGTAAAAGCCATCCTCACTGAACTGCATGTTGAACAAGTAACATGCCAAATACTGCTTGAAGTAGAAGACTTGTTGGCAGGTCGCTTCACCGACTCCTTGAGATCCCTCCACAGACGCTCGATATTCCGCGTGTGGCTGGTGGAGTCATGTGAAACAACAAAATTCTCAAAGTGGTTGATGGTTTGGTGGTCGTATCAGTGTTCCTTCAGGCTGTTGTAGGCTGCCCACTTGTCACTCACAACAGTTGACCCTGGCAGTATATATACGTCTTGATTAGCAGAATCAATGTGGCAGTGTCGTGTTTACAGCCACGAGGTTCTACGAGAAGAACGATGAAAACTTCTTGGAGATCCTCTCAATGCCGCCGAACACCCTCTTATCAAATTGTGACTCATCTATTTCCATGACGACAGCAGGGCCTCCTACTGGCTTTTGATGGTCAAACCAGTACTCCTTAGCTTACAAACAGAAATTGTGCTAGTCGACACTTGTATTGGGAGACAGGTGCAGGCACTTGATGACAGTATGATGTTTCCTGACCTTATGGAGCCAATGATTGACAAATAAGAGCAGTTTCCACAACTCCAGATGTTTACCGTAGAAAATGTTCCTTTGCAGTGTGACACTGTAATTGCACGTCTTCCTCTTCCTAGACTTGGGAATAAAAATTCTTCTCGGACAGCACCAAAGGTGTTTTTCAGCTCAGTAACTACAAGCCTTGTTACACCTTATGCATGTAACTTCCGTAGGTAGAACACCGTGTTCGTGTAGTGCCACGCTTCTCCGTCTTTACCGTAATATTTAATGTGAAATCTGGTGATGGTTTGGAAGTAGTTGAGATCACAGCCACTACACAAGGGAGACACCGTGGAAATAAATTCAAATTCAAGCGGGTGGCAGCGGGGACCTATACCAAGCTGTGATTGGTTGATACAAAATCATACCCACCAACCAACGTCCAAAGAACTGCGCATGCATCAGACTCTAGCACATGCGTAATGCAGCTTACCTGTAGTATCCAGCAAGCGAACACAAAGGAGCTCTCTTGGACAGTGGTAACATACATAAGAAGTTAGAAAAAAATACGACTATTTTCCAACAAATTATTGCGATTTTCTTGGAAAGTAATCGTTTGTGAAAGAAATGCTACTGAAGAAACGAGTCTTAGAAATGTCTAAACTAAATGATTCCAAAACTTAACATCCTAAAGTTCACTACAAGACCAAAACAATAATAATACCTATAGACATGACCAACTACCCAAGCAGCTAACAGGATTAGGTAATATTGCAGTAAACAGCAACCACTGAATTCCGGAAATTCACTACACTCAATAGATAGAACTATTTGTTCAATGATAATGTTCTTATACAGTATTACACTTCCATCACAAATTGATAATAAGGAAGTTATTGAATTTTAAAAAGAATAAAATCAGAGCACCTGTTGCTCCTGCGTTGCTCAAATTGTGTGTGTTCGTACATTCGCTTACCCCCTGCGCATGTGCCAGCGGGTGGCCGCAGCCAATCAAATCTGGGCGGGGGCGGCAGCCAATCAAATCCAATAAAAAATATTGACTTATGATTCAACCAATAAGCGTTCAATATTCGGCGTGGGTGCTAAGATGCGGGACATTTTTAATCAGTTGCAATATGGAGCCATAATGTGCTGGGTGCGATTTCGATTATTGGAAGTTTAACGTATTATTTCATTCTAAAAATAAGGAAACTTTAGAGAACAGAGGAACTCACAATGCATTCTGGTCCCTGACTCGGAGTAAGGTATGAAATGCTCTAACAGCTATTTATATTCTCGTGGAGGCTGACAACGCGACTCTAGGGTTATTACTAGCATTTGGGGGTCTGGGGGCGAAGCCCCCAACTTGGGATCACCGGGGGTCTGGGGGCAGAGCCCCTGGCTAGGTTGTTAGGTAAGGTTTAGTTTGGTTATATGGTATAAGTTAGCAAGCACAGAGTACCAGGAATTCAGAACTCGCAATCGATAGAACTATTATGAGGGGTGAGGGCTAAATCACAAACGAGTGATTTCCGACAAAAACGAAGGTCAGATTTGAACCAATCGCATAAAAACCCATCAGAAAAACACTTTTTTCTTTTTCACACTCCATGGTTGCTGTAATATGCACAATTACCACCGAGAACCTTCAGTCTACCTCACAGTTCTTTCATTCAAATATCTTATTATTACCCTACAGGTGTTGCTTGTACTCTCTGAATACTGTCACATTATTATAGTTATTTATATTTGATATTTGTCTCTCTGTTACTGGGTGTCTTGTCTCGGAGGCTCAGATGCTGTTGGTTTGGTCTCGTATGTAAACAATTGGCGGCGCTTCATCTCTGTTATTCCATGCACTATTTCTTTAGGACGGCAAACTTATTACATAGATAGCCATATATATATAATTTTTTTTTTCAGGCAGATTGATAGACAGACTGGTAGGTAGATTGCCAGATACATACATACAAGTTAATTTTGATTCAGCGTGTATATAATATATACATTGTATATTATACAATGTTTGAATGTACTGTAGATAGTATGCAATATGCATAGACAGCGCAGGTATACAGTGTACCCTTGTTTAAATACAACTTAAATGGCCAATAGTAAATTCCACTGCTCATCCATACAATCCATGAATCCCAGTTTACTAATGAATAGTATAAATAAACGCCCTACTTAGTAATGTCCTCTTAGGTGTTTATAAACTTATATTAATTCACTCCCTTGGCCGCCTATAGCATAAGCTAAGCAATTGCGGGTGTTCTAATCTCTCTCGGTACCTGAGGCGCCGTAGTGAAAGCACGAGTCTGGTGGCCGTCTTTTGGAAGTTTTCAGTCAGCTGATAGTCTCTAGCATATCTCAATTCTTGTATTGTTAAAACATTTATTACTTTAAGTAAGCCCCACAAGGGAATGGCAAAGATGAGTGTGGGACTAGTACACTACCCTGTCCTTTTGATGTAATAGTTTTTTATTGTCAGTAAAATATTTAAATTTAAATTTTTAGCATATCTCGGGGACTAGATGGAGTGACAATACTGCAAACGGGGAGTGAGTATGTGGGGTACAGGTTGTTTGGTTCACACTCAGGATGGGATGGAGAAAGGAAACTCAAAATGTGCTCTCTGTATACATATTGTATTGGATGTACAATGCAGCTTGGTGTTGGGAAGGCAGCGTGGTTACAAGCGTTGAGTAGAGCGAACTGGTTGGTGAGGATGCTCAGAGGAGGACCAGCTTGTTTGGTCGCCATGCTCGCCGGCGGGAGCGAGGGCCGCCAGGCAGGAGGAAGAGGAGGTGGTGTTACTTGCTGGTTGGTGTAGGTAGAAAGGGAGTGGTCACCACGAGGTCAGGTCTTATATAGCGGAGGTAGGCGTGGCTTAATAGTTGACCTCCGTCATGCAAGGCGGCGGTGGTTGACCTAGACCACGAGGCATACACTGGGGAATTCGCGGGGTCGGCTACTCAGCGACAAACAGCGTTTGTAGGGGAGGTATCCACTACAAGTATACCGTCAAGGTATATGAACGTTCTTATAAGACCCACTAATTTAGTCGCTACATACACTCTCCCTGTCCTTTTCACATTTGGTCTCCGTTAATGCTGTTTCTTCGCCTCCAACGGGATGAAGAAACTGCACTATTGGAGACTGAATGTGAGAAGGACCTAGGTGTGTATGCTGACAATGAGCTGAAGTTCTCGGGCTATTGCGAGAAGAAGGTAAATCAGGCAAATAAATTAGTAGATCTTATAAGAAGGTCATTCAGATATCTAGACGGTTGAAAATGTTCAAAGAAAGGCCACCAGACTGGTGCCTGCACTTCGGCAACTCAACTACCCTGAGAGATTGGAGCGCCTGAATTTGCCTAGCTTATACTACAGACGGGCAAGGGGCGACCTAATTGGGGTGTATAAGCATCTCAAGGGGCACTACTCAGTCGAGTATCCTTACTTGGAGGTGGCGGACGCTCGCCCCAAAAAGGGGCCCCCGCTCAAGATTAAAGAATCGGCAAGTCCAGAAAACTGTGAGGGCAAACTTTTTCGGAGTGAGGGTTGTAAACTCTTGGAACAATCTACCTGAAAGTGTTGTGACGGCACCGAGTGTGAGCTCTTTCAAGACCAGACTTGACCAACACTGGAGCAGGTTCAGTACATTCAGGAGCTGGTGCTTGCCCAGTACTTGCCAACAGTGTGTGACAGAGACGTGACCGATCGCCCAATCGGCTAATGAGTCGATCAGTGGTGGAGGATTAAAAAAAAAAAAAGTGGAAGGCAAAAATAAAGGCCATATTTCGCGTTTGATTACTCGACCATTTTAGTAATGTTCTCAGGCAACAGATGGGAGCACCACTGTATATCTTATATGGCATATCCCTGAGAAAATTTTTAATGTTAAATATAGAAATTATATTTTGTTTTTAGTAAACAGGAACTAGAGATATGTTATCCACGAATAAAATGTTTATAGGGTGAAATAATTGAATGTATAAATATTTCGATATATGATCCCCTTCAACATTCAGCCTTCCCAAAGGTAAGTGTAATGAGGAAAATAAACGGTATTATTGCGTTTTGAACCACATTATTTTGATCTTATGCATCATTCATATGAGGTATGGTTAGGGCCTAACCCTACCTACCATTAGGACAAGGTTAGGTTTAGTTTAGTTTAGTAAATTACGTGGTCGAGAAAGTTCCATAGCAGTTAGCTTGAGGCAGCCCCAGTAGGGTATAGGTGACTAGGATCATGATTTACGCCAGAAATGGGTATTATTAGAGAGTTTGCTCCTAATCACAGACCGTTTTGTGTGTTCTTTCATATTCTTGGCCCAAAATGGTATTATTGCAGTTTTTCACAACCATAGAATCGAGAATTTTTTATTTGTGTAACATACTTAAAAGGCTACTATAAGAACTTTTCTTCAATACCATTTTCGTCGCAAATGCTTAATAGCATCGGAAATTAAATAATTTATTTACATAAACAGTTATAGTGCTAAAACTAGTTTTTAATAACGTAGTGATTTGGGGGCCAAACGCTCTATTTTTACAAAGCAATAAAGGTCAAAATCGTTTGACACCCATAAAAACAAAACTGTCCACGTTGAAAGAGGAGTGTGGTTGAAAACTCCATTTTACCCAATAAAATAACAATGAAGAACAATTCTTGCAATAATTTAATTAGATTTCTCTTTAATGACACCTCCCCACCTTGCGGATGTGAAAAGTGGTTGCAGATCGCACAACTGTTTAAATAAGCCACTCTCAAAACTCGACAGGAATTTTGTTCTATGTAGCCAACACGTCATCCCGGATTCATTCAAACTACGCAGCTCTTCTCCAAAACCGAAACATTTGAATGCTTACTTCCTGTGTTAAGAAATAGTTGTGCTTGTGTTTGTCTGACACTTGTAATAAAATTAAATATTCATATACTACTGTTTTTTAACTTAAATTTCACTATAATGTATTACCCCATACATTTTTTTCTGGATTTGTATTGCATTCAAACTAATTTGTCAATATAAAGGGGACACAAGATTTTCAGTTTATGTACTTTAAATGATTGTGAACACATAGGAGCCATTAGTAATAATGATAACTGAAAACACAATCTTATGAAATGTTGCCCCACAAGTACAGTATATACCATGTAAACACGTCACTTATGTATGTACAGTATATGGGAGTGAAGTAAGTTAAAGTAACACTACAATATGTAAATCATTTACGTGAGATTGCTTTGCCTGTATTGATTGATTTCCAGTATGTCATGTGGTATAGTACATAATGAATTGCAATATTCTAATAAAATTAACTAGGTAAGTATTAATAATAAATTAAGTCTCATACTGAAGGCAGTAAAGGGATATAGGCGAGGAATAGGGTCACGAGTTTTAAAGCAGTTACTCCGGGGCCGTTTTCTAATTTAGTACCCTTCTCACACACTAGATGGCGGGGTTTACCTGGGGGTAATAATCGTACTGATAAAGGGTAATTGGTCACTCATCAGAGTACGACCAGGCTACTCTAGAAGAGCGCCACGCTTTCCTCTCTCTTTAACCCTCATTAGGAGAGGAGTTTTCGTCACCGCTGTCCATTTAAACTCGGGTCAGGACTAGAAACGCTGCCGGTCGTCACTCTTACCCACTACAATATTTCATATTTACGGTATGTTTAATTTCTGATTTATTCAAGTGATTGAATTTATACATAAAGGTTATTTATTTGTAGATTGGATCATTGTAATTTATAATATACTGAACACCGCAAATTATTGTAGGAATGTCAAGGAAACAATGAGGGAAATGGTTGCTAGTTTGAGGAACTTTGTGACTTAATGCCACAAGTGAGTTTACTGTAGTGCCATGATAAAGTAAAGTTCAGTTACGTACCGTACTGTAGAAGAATGGTATCATAGCTTAATTGGCCTCCATACTTTGCTATTTGGTGGACTATTCAAAGGTGACAGGAGGTCTGTGGCCACTGTCAGTTCAACTTTAACCAGCATAACCTTCCAACTGGCCAACAATTGCTAGCATAACCTTCCAACTGGCCAATAATTGCCAGCATAACCTCCAACCGGCCAACAATTTCGGGCTTCCTTAATTTATTTGGATTTTTCTGTTGGATTTTCATTGATGTAGCATATGTTATTTACTAAAGCAACTTCAAGGATAGCGTCAAATTATCACTTAAGTGGTGCCCAAATCGCCTGTTGTTGACAGCATGTTTACTTCCCTGCGTCTTGTCAAGCAGTGTCATCTTTGTCCATGCAGTACAGTACAGAGGGATCATTTATCTGTATGCTGACACAAGTTTCTCTTTTTTGCAGAATTATCACAGCATTATGAACTGCAGCAAGGACTTTATACTTCAGGGAGTTGAAGACTTGTTGGACGAATCTGGTGGATGTCGCCACAAGTCATCTGTGCCGGATGACCTACATTGATGACAGGACGTTCTCGCAAACTCAACAATTTGAAACTGTTCTACCTCAGAAAATGACGGCAGAGAAGGTGAGCTCATGATTCTTTAAAACACTGACGACGTCGGCGGTTCGTTCTTGAGTATCATTGATGGATGTGATGTTTCTTATTTACTGTAAGTGTAAGGTGGAGTTTATGTGTATTAAGCGATATTGATCTGCTTTATGCTTATAAGATTAAG